AATTCAAAAAGGCAAATATATAGTCAGTCCAGAGCAATAAAAAATGTGGAAAGAATAATTTTGTGTTAAAGTATTTAAAAATTTAGCTAAACAGATCTGAAAATAATTTTGTTGGAACATCTAAACAATTATGTATAGCAATCCCAAGCATGATGAGCATTGTTGCAAAAAGTTTTGACATTTCATCGAACGGTTTGAGCGTCCTACATAATTATTTTAGTCCAACAAAATTATTTTCAGATTTGTTTATAACTAAAATTTCAGACACTTCAGCAAAACCATCCTATTTCCGTATATATAAGAAAAATAAAATTTTCTAGCATCGTAGCAGATCTTAAACTTTATATATATGTATAATCGAGATTCAGATAACATATATTTAACAGTATACATATGATACTATAAGTGCGGATCGAAAGCTTTTATCGGAATTATATCACAGATCGCCAGTAGTGTTTATTAAAAGAGTAAAAAGGCAAGCCATTACTGTCTCTTATTTTATAGGAATCTCTGCGAGAAGGAGGTTGGGAAAGAGGGAGAAACGGCGGGATTTTAATCGTTCCCGGGAGTTTTGCTCTCCCGAGTAAACCGCATCTTCCAGGTTGCCGTCTTCTCTTCCCGCGCATTTTCTTTAGCCCGTTCGAGACTCTTGGAAAAGTTCAATCCGAAGTGCTGCCGGTGACACTCTCCGACGAGTTAGCGAGCGCGCTTTTGTATTACTTTGCATCGGTCGCCGTTGTGCCCGCGTCAACTAGACGTACCCCGGGCGATGCGCGAGTAAAAGGGAACGAGAACATCGTTGGCTTTCAAAAACACCATCGGCTCTCCAAAGACTTTATGCGCTCCTAGTTCTGCTGCGTCTTCCCTACCGAGGCGTAATCCACAGCGTTTCACGCGAGGGATTACCAGCTGTACTCTTTTAAGAATATACATGCACTCTCTTTTCAAGATTGTTAAACTACTTACAGTCATCAATTAAAATTTTATATGTATAAAATTATGTTAGCAGGAATTCTAAAAAAAAAAAAAATTATGTTCTATAAATTTTATTTTATTAAATATCTACATTTAACGCATAAAAAAATTACACGCTTCCTTCCGTTCTCTAGGATTACCAACTTTTTTTAAAAAGTCCATACATATGTAGACGTTTCTTGTGATTCAGAAATGGTAACCCTACACGCGACACACTTTCCTCCGCATTGCGAATTGTAGAATCATAAAATATAATCATTATTATTAAATTTGAAAAATTTGCGGGATTTATAATACTAAATTGAAAGATCGTGCAAGATACATCTTTGCAGATCAATATAAATTTTAAAAAGTATATACTGTACCTTTAAAAATTCAAAATGATCTATAAATATCCGCATAAATATCTCATCTTTGGGCGAAAATCTCAAGAATTTCCCTCTGCAAGTCGTCGGAAAAATAATAGTTACGTTACATCATTGTCAAATTTGCACCCAGCCCAAAGTTATATCTATGCGGCACATGTGCTAAGACGGGTGGAAACAAGCTTTGTTATGCTTGTGTCAACAAAAGACGCGTGTTCCAGAGGCGCGTGCTGCATGCGACGCGCTGGAAGAATGAAAGTAAATATCGAGCGTGCGGCGCAGGTGGACCGGATAAGATTAAACAGCTGTTTCCGCGTTTTATCGGGAGTGCAGTTAACCGCCGCAGCCGCCCCCCTCCTCCCCCCCGCGAGCCACCCTTTCAAAATGCATTCTTCTCGGGTGCGTTAGCACGCGCGTGCAATATCCGCAATAGCGGCCCGCGCAAATGAATTGCGCTTTGCGCAAGCAGTTGAGACGGAACTATAAGAGAGGAGATAGCCCAATAATGCGTGTGAATAAACTTTACGCGAAATAGCTCGGATATCTCGCACCTCGTTCTTTCACCTGCGTTCGCGTATCTCATTTTATTTATGTTTACATATTGACAGAAAATAAATATTTACTCAATCAAAAAAATGATACTTAAATCAAATCAATGGTTCTTGTATCAAAAAGTATAAGATTACATTTAGTAAATATTTAGTTAGTACTATTTAAAAAAATATTTATTAAAATTTAGTACAGTTTCCGAGGTATATTATACATCACAATACATAAAAAAATATGTTTCAAATTTCAAGTAATAGTATTCATTGAATAAATAATCATCTAAAGATATCTTTCATAACAAATACCTTTTTGAGTTATTTTTTCGTCAATTGATTAAATGAATAATATAAAAAGACAAAAATTAATATACATATAATTTGAATAAATAAGATCTACTCTGTGCGTGTATATTTTTATGTAATTAAAAGCTGCGACAAATTTAAATTGATAATTCGAAGCTCCTATTCACTTATAATTATCATTTCAGATTATGTCTGAAGCGAGAAATGTACAATAAAAATTTTTGCAAAATGTATTAATATGGAAATGTTTCAATAAAATAACATGCAATCAATAGAACCGATAAAATATAATGGACGACTTATAAAATATAATTGGAAATTCTGCTTTTATTCTATTGTTAATTAATAAATAACTATATATCTGGAAATGAATTATGCATAACCAAAAACGAAATAATCTGTTCACAGCTGTGACAAATTCAAATTAATAATATATAGAAATAAATGATTTAATCTCTCCCCGAAGCAAGAAGATAGTTTTTGATATATTTTATAAGTCCATTCTGATTTGATTTATTCTTGGAGCCACGAAACTATTTTTATTTTTATATTCATTTTACTTATATTCGAATTTTACGTTCTATCAATTGCAAATGTTGTTTCATTGAAAAATATTTCTACTTGAATATAATTTGCAACAATTTTTATTTTAAGTATGTTCTCTCGCTTCTGACGTCATCTGAGAGATATCTATAGTGAACAGGAGTCGCAAGATGAGAACTTTATACAAAGCAAATTTTCACATGCATACATTGTTAAATCTATAGCGTCAAATTTAATCAAATTTAAATCGCTACTGCACTGAAAAAAATTTAATAAATATTTACTTGCAATAAAGAAATGTTTACTCGGAATTATTCAAGAAAAAAATTACTTGGAAAATGTTTTTCAGTATGTTTTAATATAAAATATATGATATTGAGAGTATATACTGAAAAAAAATTTTCTAAATCCAAGTAATTTTTTCCTTAAATAGTTTCAAGTAAACATTTCTTTAATACAAGTAAATATTTACTAAATTTTTTACACTATATAGTCAAACTTATACATTGTTAAATTAGGTTAAATGTGACACTATAAATTGAACAATGTAAAGGGACTCAAGTTTAATTATATACGAGTCAAGAATTCTATGTAGCGAATACGCGCTCCACGTGTCACGTCTATCTAAGATTTTATTTCGAAATGTCCAATCGTCGTCGAGAGAAAGGAAGCAAGGCGGAATGGATAGAAAACAGCTGAGGCGCAGCTGGTTTCTGGCATCGCGACGACTGGCGTCTTCCTCGCGCGCGCAAGGAGGACTGGCATCGCACTCCGCGCGCACGTGTGTATGTGTATGCACGCGCGTGACGTCTGTGTATAGCACAAACCATCGATGGTAGAAAGCAGAGCTAGAAATCGATTGCTAACAATATTTTACGCCGGGCGATAACAAACCGCAGAAGAAAAATTAACATTCGCGACCGGCAAACGGCGGTGATTCCGTGGCAACAGCTTGCGCGGATCCCGTTAATCTGTAAATAATTACAACCGCCGGTTACAACGCGATTACGCCGTTTCGCTGGAGAATCTGGGAAAAGCGAAGGTGGAGTAAATATCTGAAATCCATGAGAAGACTTGCAAATGAACCTTGGATAAAAAAGAAAGAGAGAGACGACAGAGACGGAGAGATCAAGTTTTTTTGTACAGTTATTTTTAAAACTTCTATAAAAACTACTTCAGAAAAAGAAAAATATTGTAAAATTCTGACGTAATTTCAACTTTAAAATAAAAAGAATCGTGTAAAAATGTACGAAAGAATTTACGGGAAAATATATAATACTTTACACGAAACGTTGTTGCGTCTATTGATCCTCGAATGAATGCAATGACGTGTTGTTCTCGTTTCAAACAAATACTAACGATAAAATCCGTATCATTCTTATAATTTCGTTACATTTTCCATTTATTCGTCTATTACTAATGGCTGCATTCAACAGAAAAAAACAGCTAAATTCTTTGGAGTGAATTCTCACTTCAAAAAATTTACACACTTGACTTCTGCACCGAGAAGAACTCGAATTCAGAGTCGAATAAATTCACATAAATTATTAAACCTAAGATCTAACTTCGACCGTTATAGGCATTACCTTTTCACTTGTTGTGTATTCACACTTATACTTGAATTTTACAACGGTTCTAAAGTCGCTTTTTCCGCTGAGCACAACGATCGGAATAAACCCCTACAGCACAAAGTTGCACAAAAATTGCAGCAACATTGCATGTTGCAGCAATATTGCTGCAAATTCTGTGCTGTATGGGAAGGGCACGACTTCTAGTAGCATTCGACGACCTCGTATCCCACATTTCGCCGAAGCGACGTGTCACAACGACGTCAACGACGACATCACTGTACTCGTTACGCTGAACACGTACAGTGAACACTTGGAATGTCTTCCTCCTGAATCTCCTGAATTAACACGCCGAAAGAATTCACGTGAATCTTTCCCAGACGCGCGCGTCGCGCTGGCTAAGTATAGCGGAGCCGGCGCGACGTGGGCGCGGATGCAGCCGTGAAAAGCATTCGCATTAATCTCGGCGCCACCTTTGCCAACCGGACAAGCGAAATATTTCACGACGACAACGGCTGCGTCCTCGCTAATGAAACGCCCCAGGTGGTGACGATTCCGGACGTCTCGGCCTGACGCGACTCGCGAATTAAAACTCCCGGATGTCCCGTAAGGACACCCTCCTCTCCTCCTCTTTTTTTTTTCTCTTGCCGTTGCACGCAATCGCCGGAACAGTCGTGTGGAATTGATCAACACCGCTCTACCATGTACAAAGAATTTATTTTTCTTAACATTGACAGTACTCACAAATTCGCAGCTCGCACAATAACATCGAGATATGGCTGTGCGTGGCGTCGACGCCACCTTGAGACTCCGCGCCTCCCGACTCCCTTATTGCCTTACTGATCAATCGATCGATTGACCGATTGATTAGCCCGTATCGCTTCCGAGCAACATTCAAAACGGTCGGTGCGTGAGCCCGACCGTTGAAACAATTATTATGACAAGCGTTTCTCTCTCATCCCCTTTCTCCCTCTTTCTCTCATTACTGGCTCATTACCGGCTTTCAACCGGTATCGGATGTGCAGGACGATGTATCGGCGTTACTCTGATCGTTGTTGCTCTCCGTCGACGAGCTGTCGTTACTCTTTATTCGCCGTTTGCGCAGCTTCGCGAACTGAAACTCCTCGACCGGCACTGTACACCAACAATAGAAGTCATGTCATTAATCCTCTGACTAATTATCGCCGTTCGCAATTTCGTTTTTTTTCTTTTTTTTTCTTTTTGCTTTACGTATATCTTTCATTCCATTTCGCAGCAAGGATAGGATAACTTGATCGGGTTGAGTCAAACCGCAGGAAAACGAGAACGAAGAACGCTTATATATTTCTCTCTCTCTCTCCCTTCCCCCCCCTCTCTCTCTCTCTCTCTCTCTCTCTTGGCCGACCAAAACATTTTACATTGTGAATCGCATTATCTTACAGTGGAGAGTGCGCATACAATGAATTTATTTGAGTATCTTGAGATTGACTCTGGTTCTAAGGCATTAACATTAAAAATCTTGAACTATTAATTGATACGTAGCATATATCCCTTCATTGCACAATCTTCGCATCCGCGCGAAATGACTTAATTTAATCTCTCTTTCAAGCTCATTTCTACCTTTTTAGATTTTAACTTTAATCTCGGTTTACAAGATTGCCACAAATATCTTATCCTCCAAGTTCCATAACTTTTCCTGATTCCCAGACAAAATTTCGTGATTTTTTCCTGATGCTTCAATAATATTTAAAATTTTTTTTATAGTGTCCTCATTTGAAAACTGTCAAATATTTTGAGAGAGCAATTCATAATAATATAAATTACTATTAATGCTGCTAACACTACTTGCATTCGATTGTTAAGTTAGTAATATTCCAAGATTCCATAGGTATGACGTACGCATATTAAACTTCTTTAACACCGAGAATTTTAATTTTGTGTGAAACAGAAAATTTTGCAAAATTTCCCTGATTTTTCCCTAATTTCTCCTATTTTCAATTTCCTTGATTCCCCTAATTTCAGTTTTGTGGCCTGATTTAATTTTACTCTTCCTCTTTTTTTCTTAAACTAGAGAAGGTAGAAAGTAAGTTAAACAAAGATTAAAGTTAATCTACATCTTAATAGAAATGTACATCAGCCACATCCCTAAACTTCATAGACATGTACTAAATTTAACTTTAATGTCAAGAGATGAGACCAGCTCTCGAGTGTTTTAACAAAAATTGTAATCGTTACAGACGTACCTAGCGTGAAATAGACGACTCTGTGTGCGACGAGGTAGACGAACGATCTTTATTTACAAATAATGCACTATGTAACACATGAATAAGCTTCCTTGCTATGCGCTGGGAGAAGCAATAAATCGGCTCGTACATCAAAAGCATGTTGTTATGCGGTATGTACATACTTACACGGCAAGTCGATGAAAATTACGAAAATTAATGAAAAGAGAACATTCAAAGTAGTAAACTTCCGTACTCAACATCCTTATCTCTGATATCTACGCAACGTATCGGAGATTCAACACATGGCATTTTCTCATTTGTTTGCAATAGAAAAAATTTTATTTGCACAATTAAATTTTATCGACAATTTCTTGATCAACTATCTTTGCATAAACTAACTAGTAAGGAAATTTACTTGGTACCATCTCTGTATTGCAAATTTGCTCAATGACGATTGTTTTACACATGCGAGTAATAACGCAAAAAAATATGCGTAAATAATCGGAAAATGTCGATTCGCCGTTTGCGACTAATACTCCTTAGCGGTTTTTGTACTAGTATCTCCTCACGGGGAGAAAGTGCACGGGATATCAGGTAAAGCGCAAAATCTTAAGAAGCAAAACATTGCTTCTCGTTAAACATCAATTTCTAATAGAAATACTCTCTTTAAAATAGTCTCTTGTGCATTCACGTATAGTTAATGTAATTACATATATATATATAAATATATCTCACAACAATAAAATCATCTGAGTATGTAAAAACAGTTCAGACTAAACAAGTCTCTTTGCTCTCTTACAACAAAGCATAGAACATACTCCTTCCTTCCGATTTATCTCCATTAATATACATATTAGAAACATGATGTGTGTTACCTGAATTAACCGGCCGTTCGTTCCGTAGATAAATTTTAAATATTTTACATTTGAACGTTCGTCGAAGATCCAATTTATTCCTTAGCGATATGGCTACTTTTAGTGGAGATTTCATTACCATCTGAATCGGGATCTTGATCGGCAGCGCCGTGAACTGAAGCGGATGGCAATGGCACGACTTCCGGCTCGAGAGGCTTCACCGGGCAATCGACATCCTCCACGATAACTTCCTCCGCCAAGCTGCTCCTTACTGCCTCTGTGCATTTAGGGTAGAAAAAAATATAACAAATGGATCATACATCTAATTTCCTTGTTGATTCGTTCATATAATTAATTACCGTTGAACGCTTGTGGATACTGCTGGCTCAATTTATTCTTTATCAAGCGAATCCTCTTAAAAATATAATCCAAGTCCCTCTTCATTTCGATTAGAAGAGCAGTGTGTTTCTTGAATTCTGTACCGGCAGTCTTGAGTCTGTTCACCGACAATTGATTGCAGTTTGTCAGCATCTCGTTGGTCTTTTCAAACCTTTGTAACCTGGAGGCGTACAAAGAATTAATATTATATCAAGAGAGAATTAGAGATGTGTAAGTACATCTCAAAAAAGACAAATAGCAAATTTGGTCACTTGCATTACACTAAATTAGTGCTAAAAGCTGTTATATGTATTTATATGTACATATATATAAAATTAATCTCAATGTATTGGATTTTGTATTGTTTGGGCGAGTTGTCACCATGCAAGATAAAAGAGATCTGTTTTTTATATCTGTACCCCTACTGAAAAAAATCACGATAAACAATGATAAAATTATATAATTAAAACACGTAACGGATTGTTCCAAATCAGTACGTGATTTTTTAAAACAATGTAATTTGAAAAATCACATGATATTAGAAATAATTTCCGTCATGTGATTTTATAGTAAGCATATATCTATCTCACTTCCAAAAGTGTACAGTTACAAAAAATAAACTTAAGGTCTATTCTTTTAAATATACATATAATATATAATAGACAAAAGGCTAAGAGCAATAGTTATTAGTTGCTATCTTTTAATCTTAACAAACAAACGTTTCGACCTCACACTAGATTATTTTCAATGCTTGATAAATAAATTCTAATGACAAATTAAAATTATTACTTAAAAACGTTTAACGACAAAGTCGCATACTTGAAATTAAAATTGAGGAATCTATTCTTTTAACTGAATTTCTTTGTGTGTATGTGTGTGACCACATGTTCTCTTTTTCTCTTCACTTCATCAACATGAAAAGAAAAGAAGGAAAAATAAACGTGCAAGGGGACCAAGAAGTTCAGTTGGGCTCAGTTTAATACAATTCATGATTAACTCTTAACTTCCTGATCTCTTTCCAATGTTAGAATTGAGATGAGAAAGAGATGAGACATTGAACCTCGATTAAGAGTTAACCGTGAGTTGTGAAACTGAGCCTTAGAAGTTTAAAACGGATAAGTCTAGAAAATAAAAGCTGAAAATTACATCTGTTTCTGCGCACGTATCATAGACTCCACATCCTGCTGATCAACGATGCCAGCCAGGCCTTGCACAAACACCTCCGGTGCTGTGTAGTTTCTGAAACACTCGAAGCTCCCAGTGTCCGACTCCGGTGTGCCCTGCGCCGCTGCCATACTTTCGCTACCTCAGGATCACCAGGCCACGAATCTACTCTCATCATCAAGCAATCCCATCGCTCAAGCAGAATGTCGCTCGAATTCGCTCAATCGTACTCGACGCAACTTACACTCTGGTGACCGACGAGTCGCGAGCACTACATGTCGCGAAAGTCCGGATTGCAATCGTCCACGTTATCTTCCTTGGTGTTTCACGTTGGTCATCACGTCAGGACGAGAAAGAAAAGATGTCGATCAATATATCGTGATCGCGCTATGCCGAGCCTGTTCGTCTCGCCAAAACCTCCAAGTCCATCTCCTCGCGTTCCGAAAACAAATGCTAGGCGACGCCGGCGATGGCGGAATTATCGATCAACTGAAAGGATGCTTGGATATTAACAATTACGCGATATCTCGAGTCCGAAGGTGAACCCTATGTGCGATTTAAAAATCCTATTCGTCTGCAGGTCCGAAGATGACACGCGACGGAACGTTGAACAACGAAAGACGCGATACGAGGAAGAATCGGAAAATCCGCGCGACGCGTCGCCGCCCGACGGCAACAGCTGTTTTGCGACCTGATGTTTTCGAGTCGGGTAATAGGGCGCCGTGCAGCATTCAAATTTCCATCGTGCTGTTGTGACGGTCAATCGAGTCGGAGTGAGTCGGAGTCGCAGAGAGAAAGAGAGACGGAGAGATTGCGACCCTCACTCCGTGAAGACGATACTTTTCACCGATTCTTCGCCCAGGAACGCGAAGACGCCAAGGTGCCTCAGGATGGCACAGAACGTGAATCCGTTCAGCTCGATGCAAAACACGCCGACCAAGGCGACCGAAGAGAAGCAGAGCTTGCCGAAGGACAATCATGCAGTTAGTAAACGGTACGCGTATAATCAAGTCCATTAATATGAATTGCGAGCTGACCGAAGAGTTTTCTTTCGAGTCGATCGTTCAAATTGCCCCGTTCGTGATCATCGAAATTTTTTCGAATATTTCAGGAATTCAAGCGGTATAATCGATATCGCTTTGTTCACTGTAGTCACATAACCTAGTGGACTCTGAACTTTGATGTTGATTAAGCGCGAATATATAAATATTCGTCGGGAATATTTTACAATATTTGATTTTGTAATAATCTATTTTTCTCCTTCGTTGTAATCAACTATAACTTGTCTCATGGAGATGTTTACTTGTGTGGAAATACTTGAATTTACTTCTTGATTGTCCAGATTGCAGAAAGAGCTCATGGTGCTGATGATGAGCACCGAACAAGGAGTATCTGCCTTCCCAGAAGGAGAAAATTTATTTAAGTGGATCGGGACTATCACGGGACCAAGAGATACGGTAGGAAAACCTCTCTACTTTGAATAATTATTACCTCTAATATAACAAAAAAGTCTATCAGTTCGTATCAGATTAAATATTAAAAATTTTCTACATTACCGAAGCTTTAAGTCTTTGACCAATTATAAACGATTATTCTGTTCACATTCAACTATGATAATCAATTTCTTATGGCTTAAGACTTAAAACTTAGGTAATGGCTCATTGTAGAAAACTCAATAGAATTCTTTCCATGCTGGAGAAAAAAGAGAAAAGATACATTTATAAAAAGATAGTTGTTCAGTTAAAAAAGACTTTAAGATCCTTACTTTCTGACTCTTAAAAGCATTGGTACTCTCTAAATTCTTTGGAGTGAAATCTCACTGTATATAAAGAATGAAAATTGAGAGTTTTGGAAAAGAATAAAAATTTTTAAGAGTGAAATTTTACCCAGAATTCATTCTAAAAGTTTTAGAGAGTATCAACAGCATTGATGTCGCTACATTATCATTGAATAGATATACAATGTACAATGGAAAAAGTTTTATTGAAATAATCTAAAAATTTAATTAGATATAGAAAATAATTCTGAAAATAATTTTGCTTGGTCCATCAAAATAATTATGTTGATGGCTCAAACTGGTTGCTAGAATGTTAAAACATTTTACAGCATTGTTATCGATGCTTTTAAGCGTTCTATATAATTATTTTGATGATTCAACAGAATTATTTTCAAATTTATGTCTGGCTAAATTTTTAAATACTTCAGCAAAATTATTCTTTCCGTGTAAAAAAAGCAGTGCAATGACAGTATAACGACATTTACATTGCAGTTAAGAGTTATGAAATAGATGATACTAAGATTGGATTAAAATTTTATCAATCAAAATAAAGTTTATTTAACTTGACATTTTCTTTCTTCGAATTGATTAAATTCGAATTTAATCTCTAGTGCAGGTATAATGAAAATGTTATGTGTTGCAGGTATACGCCGGTCTCACCTACAAATTAACCTTAGAATTTCCACATAGCTATCCGTATAGTGCTCCCATAGTACGCTTTGCTACACCTTGCTTTCATCCAAACGTAGATACCGGTGGTAATATCTGTCTAGATATATTAAAAGACAAATGGAGCGCACTGTATGATGTCCGTACCATTTTACTCTCCATACAATCTCTTCTTGGTGGTAAGTAATAAATAAAATGTAATACAAGTCAATATTGATGTGAGATACTATTTCGTTTCACACTTTATTATATAGAACCTAACAACGAAAGTCCACTTAATCTTGAAGCAGCAGAATTATGGAATAATCAGACGAAATACAAAAAGTATCTGATGGAAGAATATCATAGGGCACTCGATCGAACACAGAGCAATCGTAATCAACAAGATTCATGATAAGTCATGACCGTAAATTCATTTTGAATCATTTAATATTATTCTTACGAGTGGTAGGATTATAATTAAGTGTACAATTAATCGGAACTTTCTGCACTTTTTTCGAGATTCATTAAGCATTACCGAGTTTAAATTGTTTTTCTTTCAAAAGAATGACAATGACAAAATTCTTCATGAATTATGTATATGTATTTAGTTTATAATCTCGCAAGATTTTCGTAGGAAGACTTTTGTAAGAGCAATTATAAATTTATGTAATCATCGACATTAAGACAATTGCACTACATTTATTTATTTACCATGTAGAAACATGTGCGTTGGTTTTTCGATCATTACCGTCATCGTCTGTACATTACATCTATATTTGATGTTTGTTTTCATTTTTACCATTACTGTATAGTTCTAAAATAAATATTTTAATGATCATATAACCATAAGAGTTAATTTGCAATTTCCTCAAAACATGATTTAACAACAATACGCATGTGATATATATTTTTTGTTATGTTTCAGTTTCATTAATATATCTAGTAAGATATTATAAATTTTTTGGCGTCCAAATTCTGAAAATCAAAAAATTTTTTATAGAATAGCGTTTTTGAGAATTTCAATTAATGTAACTTTTTTGTTTATTATATTTTTCTGAACATTCTATTTTATTTTCCCAATTTTCATAATTTAAGTTTTCATGTTAAAATTTCTAAGTTTAAAATTCTAAGAATTGCGACTTTGTTAGTTTGATGTATAGGAATAAACATGAAGGAATATACATATATATTTACAAAAGGTAAATATTTTTTGTGTCATTAATTGTGTCATAAATATAATTTTATTTTTTTGCTGATGATGACATAGTATCGTTATATGAGAACATGAATCTTATTAACAAATATAACTATCATTGTATATGCGGTTATTACAGAAAAAAAAAGCTAAAAAGAAAACAAAGTACTTTAATAGATGCTTTCAGCATGTATTCACGATAAAAAAAAATGCGGTCAGTTTATATCATAGTCTTAGTTAATTATTTCAGTCAAATAGTGCAATAATGTAATAAAGATGCGGATCGTGAAATGCTAAAAATGCAAATTATATATAATTAGTCATTGTATACACACACATATATATATATATTTATCTATTTTACATTTATCTATTTTTAAGAATATTAATCTCGCTTGAATTAATTTTATTATATGTGTATGTATTTATATTTTATCTTTATCTTTTTCCTGATTTTATCATGAAGCATATAAGATAATTTAATAAAAATTAAATCGAAATTAATTATATTAGCTATGTAACCAAAATAACTATTTTAGTTATTAATTTAATCATACTATTACGATATTAATCGTTTCATATTAAACTAAAAAATAATTTAAGCGAGTTAATTAATATTTTTGAAAATACATAGATAAGTACGAGATAGAGACAGAGAAAATAATTTTGTTTTATAACTATAATAAGCTAAACCAAAAAGAATGATGTTATTTATATATGTTACTATTTTCATGTTATCGCGTTATTCCAGTATCAGTTATCTAACTAATTTTCAAAATGCTGCATTTCTAATCGACGTTGCTATATATAACGATACCGATGTGCGCTGTCAGCAGTTCACTACGAACGATCCATTTAAAGACTTCAGTCGTAAAGCGACATATGTATATTCAACACGATGTATGTTTGTTTCGTGAGTGCATTACATAAAATAGTAAAATCCGGAAGCGTGCATACTCGGCAACTATCAACTACTGCGAATAAGGCTCGTGAGATGGAGGTGTGTATACAAATAGAAATGTAGAATCATTACTTGCTGTTTTCTCATCTGCCATTTTATAGACCGTCTTTCATATGTTAAGCTATCATATGTTAAGCAAAATATATATGTATAACAAAATATACATTTTTGTTAACAGGAACGAAAAGTCAAAGTGAACAATATGGAAATTAATTATGCTAAAGTCGGCACAGGAGATCATCCGGTGTTACTGTTGCCTGGGGCCTTAGGTAATGCGATTTCTCTAATTATAATTTTTTAAGTCTGATCTACAATTGCGTAAACGTAGTTGTTAAGTAGTCGTAGTTGTAACAATTACAATCAGATATTCTCGTATTCAAGTGTGATTTGTCAATTCTTACAATTACGTTTATGCAAATGTAGATTGGATTTTATACATTGATTAGATAATAGTTTTGTATATCGACATTTTTATTGCTGCCATCTATCGGATTGTAAATCTGGATAGTTAGATTTAAATTGTTTGTTGAAAAATAAGATAGCGTTGATAGCGTTGACTAAAAAAATAAAAAAAAAATGTTAAATTTTCAGAACTATTTTCTGCCGCCAAATAATTGTAATTGTCGTTTTTACCGGGTTTTTTTTTATTGCAATATAACTATTTTTTTATCGCTATTAATTATTTATAATTTAACGAGACTGTTCAAGGATTTGCTAAATTTTTTAAATCTTGATTGACTTAATTAACATAGTAAAATAAATTAATAATGTTTGTGATGTCAAGAATAAATCCAAGTAAAATGCCCCGGGAAAAAAATGTTTCATAAATAATTATATAAAAATTATATATATTTATATAAAAAATTGACATACTTTATGTATAATTATATATAATTATATACGTATAATATATATATATATAAAATATATATATATAAAATATTTTTTTGTTATTTTTTTTGACATTAATTTGTATTTAACGAAAGTTTTCATTTTCAAATAGCCAAATATGTCAAAAACAAATACTTTTGCAAAATGCTAAATTTTGTCGATAAAATGTCCAACAGATAAATTGATGTCCATAATGATAAATTGATTGACTGCAGAAATCGAACAGAATCTGCCATTTAAATAAATAGCATTACAAAACAAATAATTCTGCTCGGTTTCTGCTTACATTACGCTAGCAGAACACAAGCTTAATACAAACACAAGTGACACCAATCTGTTTCAATATTCTGCTCGAATTATTGACTGCTAACATTTTATTCACCAGGATGCCGAAAATTTGCAGTATATCAAATCAAAAGGGATGTTTCAGGGTCAATATGGACTGATTTTAAGCCACAGGTAGAGAATCTGAACGTGGATAGACTAACCATAGTAGCATGGGATCCACCTGGTTACGGAAAGTCGCGACCACCCGACAGGACGTTCCCGGATGATTTTTATCAACGCGACGCCACTTGGGCCTATAATTTAATGAAAACTCTCGGCTACTCGAAATTTTCTCTGATCGGCTGGAGTGACGGTGGCATCACGTCGCTTCTACTGGCCTCGGCATATCCCGACAGCGTCTATAGGATGGTTGTTTTTGGCGCAAACGCATACATACACCCGGACGAGACGAAAATATACGAAAGTATGACTTCATTCTGCTCGTGATGTCGTAGACATCGATATTCATAACTCATTTTTATCTTAAAGTCATCTTAATATCTTGAGATGCTAATATAACTCTCTAATTGATTTATGACATTTTATGATTAGATTTAAGATAGTCTCAAATATAAGAATCATAAATACTGGTCTATAATTAGCTTATGACAGCACTTAAGTGTACACTGAAAAAAAAGTTGTTGTTTCAAAAAATATTGGTTCTGCAAATTAAATGAAGAGCTGTCAAGCAAATATTTATTAATTCAAACAAATAATATATTGATATGACTCACGTATATTTAAATATATAAATACTTAAACTATAAATAATTATCATACGAACTAAACGCTAAAATTTAATCAAGTTAACAACTTTTTTTCTCGGTGTAAGAACTGACGGTAAATATAAGAATTGATGTGAATATCGACCGTTTCAGTCAGAAGAGTCTTTTCTAGCGTTTAACAATGTAACTTATCGAAATCTTGTTATTTATAAAAAAACATTGAAAGTTGAGGAAATTGTGAGAATCCATAAATTTGTTGGAAAAAGTCACAAAAGTTTTTATGGTAACTAAATTTTACAGATACAGCCGCAACATTTTGCTATCGCGTGATTGAAAGTGCATTAAACATTTCATTTCTTTCATTCGTGTAACTCTTCATGAAATATTACTGTCCAGGCATTAGGGACATCAACAAGTGGTCAGAAAAAATGAGAATACCTATGATACAAATCTATGGTAAGGATTATTTCCAAAAGATGTGGTCGGATTGGATAGACGCTGTGCTGAGATTATATGAAAAACAAAACGGCGACCTGTGCAAACAGGTTTTACCGAAGATAAAATGTCCGACTTTAATCATTCACGGAGCCAAAGACGCGATGGTTCTACCAGAACATCCAACGTACCTGAAACAAAATATTGCCAACTCGAAGTTTGTATCTTTACAGATTTGAAACAAATAAGGTAGATACATTATCCTTTTATTAATTTCTTTTATATTACAGACTACATATTTTCGAAAAAGGCGCACATAATCTTCACTTAAGATATTCCGAAGAATTTAATAATTTGGTTACGAATTTCCTTGTCAATCGAAAATAGATTTAACGATTATAAAATTATAATATATATAGATATTTCAAGCGTTACAGTTACACGGAAAAAATGATTTTGCTGATGTATCTAGAAATTTAGCTAGATAGATTTGAAAATATTTTTGTTTTTTGGACCATAAAAATAATTATATAGGAATCTCAAGTATGATGATTGATACTGCAAAAAATTTGGATATTCAGTTTGGACGTTCTGTACAATAATTTTGATGGTCCAAAAAATTATTTTGTCTAGCTAAATTTTTTAATACTTCAGCAAAATTGTTCTTTCGTGTACGTTCAAAATATGTTTAACAAAGAAGATATTAGAAGTCGTAAATTGAAAAATAAACTTTTAAAATTTAAAATATTTTTTAAAATTATATTTAATAAACGTATTATGAATTTTATTTAATAAATTATGAAAACATTTATAAGACGTTTGTAACGTCTATTGAACATTTTCTTTTTACTAGTTTAATATATTGTTTTTATACGAGACATTTCGGTTTAATAAATATGTTTCACGTTTTTATACAGCATAAAAACATTTTAGCTAAACGTTTCTTAAACGCACATAAATTGTTTATCAGAAAGATTACGTATATAATAGTAATATCATATATAGTGGTATTTTATTATGTAGTATGTTATTTTGCAATAAGATTTTTTATTAAAATTATATTAATGAATTCTCTTTACTTCGTCATTTCCTACAATTGTTATACTAGGTCATCCTTTATCCTCTTCAGATTTAATTCAACATCCTGTAAATCATATCTGGTTGAAAGTGGAAATTTACATTCATTATAAATTGGATAATTTGTACATACATCCTGCATGTGTCTATCTATAATAACAAGCATACTTACATATCAATTCAAAACAATTCAAGTATATATAAAAACTTGAATTCACGAGTATTATATAGTAATGAAAAAATATTCAAATAACGCAAATACAGCTATTTTAGTCGCTATTTAAGTTATTTAAATATTCGCATACAAATAATGCTGCATCATATTGAATGATCCAGTTATTACATAACATCATAGACAAAGTTATTATTCTCTTACATGTATGTTGCGTAAAATCGTATATCAATTGCGTAAATTATTTAATACATGCGACATTTAATCTTGAATTGTATATTCTCTAAGCACAAAGTGCATGCTGCTTATAGTAATGCATCCGCATTTAACTAAATACATGACATCAATAACGAAGAAATATATCGATGTTATCTTAATAATTATATATGCTTTTATAAAATATCTGAAACAATAATTTACTTTTAATGTATTATGATCATTTTAATATCTTATGCTCCTGGCAATCCAGTTGGCAGTTAATTAAATCATCATTGAGTAATTATATGTATAATTACTCAATACGTATAATTTTATCTGTGTGTAATTATATCAGCATTATGGAAGAAATCTAAATAAATGTAAAATAAGATAATTTGTAATTCTTTAAATAGCATCTATTCTAGTTTATTTTATGTTATATCAGAAGACAAGTCGTAATCAATCTGTGGATCTCCTGCTGGCGTTTGCAGCGTGCCGCATTCGAGATATGTACCGAGAAATCCTTCGCACATAGATAGAAAGCGGTCTTGTGCCACTTATTATACAAGTGTCTTTATATCCAAAGAGAGCCGAGCGCGCATGGCGCTTTTTCGTCGTTCGACTTATCTGACGATCAAACGCGACCGTATATTGAACAGAGATTGACCAAACAACAATCCAAGTAACACAACTAAGTCACGATAACATCAAAATGATGTCATTTCCCAAATAGTGCTCTATAGGTTTATTAGTGCCCTAACCCAGTGTCGAAACTGGATAATGCGTACTATTACCTAAATAGAAGACATGGATCTTGAGCTTTTCATGCCGATCCATTTCGATGAAGAGATAGTCCGAAGTTCAATTTTCTCTTGTTCCTTTCCATTCGGGAAGTTGATAGAAGTAAACTGCCCTTATAGAAAATTAGCAGGATTGGGAACGCGCGTTACTTCATAAAAGGGTGGAAATAGTAGAAATTTTATTAGGTGTTGGAATTAATTCGTAGCGTTTTACAAGTGATGGGAAGTACTTTCATTAATGTATTTTTTAATGCTCATGTGAAATAAATAACATTCTTTCATTAAAAACGCTACGAATTAATTCCAACACCTAATACATAAGGGTAGAAATATGATGATCTGTATGAAGAACGATATTTGAGTGCGTACAATGAGAACTGAGAAAATAAAAAAGAGATAAGCATAACAATTTGTAAGATCTATTTATACGAAGTTACATCAAATTGAGGAAAAATCTACAATTTTTAAAGCTACTTTAAGATATAAAATCTGAAATTTTTAATAATCTAACTTTGGACTTAGTGCTGTCTGGGAATCTATAGTACACGTAATATAAAATTATAGATTTTTAGCGCTGGCAGTGAATTTTTTGGTAATTGAGCAACGACTTATCTCTGCTCTCATCATTTTTTTTCTCACAGATTGATATCTGATCGGTGAAATAATAAACAGGCTTGTATTTTTGACAAATCTCTGTGTTATGAGATAATTCACGGATTATGCGACAGTCTTGAAAAACAACGAGGTCATGTCATCGCGTCCTGATAAAAATTCACAAAAGGCAATATATATAAATCGCAGACAGGCTTGCCGACGCAATATAGGTGCGGGCGATCGAGGAAAAGCAATAAAAAGACGCGGAATATAAACTGCATGCGGGTGTAGCCAAATATGGGCAAGTGGTTTCTCGCTCTTCGATCAAGTAAACCTCTGTCCTTTTTTTTTTGTCTTTCGCAAATTCCCTCGCTTCTTCCTCCCTTCCTCTTCCTTAAAATGGAAGAGGAAAGGCACCGAGATACGCGGATGCGCTTTACGAAAATCTCATGCACAGTCTTTAATCTCAAGAACCATAACGATAAAACAAACTGAGCCCCGTCTCGTTTCCCGTAAGTACCGTACGAAAGTTGTTAAGGCGTACAACGATAAATTAATCGGTTTTATCCCGCGGATTTCGGGTTATCTTACGATACTCTTGCACGTGGGCGAAGCAATTGAGTCACAAATATCAATTTTAATGTATCTTTTAATGTCCAATAATATATATATCAGCAGACTAATATATAGTAGTTTGCAATGATAATTCAAATCGTTGCAATAATGGTTCAATAATTTCAATAATAATAAATAATAATAAATAATAACATAATTTTGAAATTTACAATCGTAAATACTTTCGAAGTGCATATATTGATTTGTATTTATATTTTTGACTTGTGGATTAATTCTAAGCAGAATCGTAAGGCTCGTAAGATTTGTAAGAATTTATGACTGCAATGAAGTTTTATGAGTACCGTAAAACGTACGATCATTTGTAAATATATCTATACGATTTCTCGTAAATCTTAACGGCTAGCAAAAGCTAGCAAAAAGCTGTAAAGATATTGCATAAGTTTATATTAGGTGTTGGAATTAATTCGTAGCGTTTTACAAGTGATGGGAAGTACTTTCATTAATGTATTTTTTAATGCTCATGTGAAATAAATAACATTCTTTCATTAAAAAACGCTACGAATTAATTCCAACACCTAATATATTGCAAAGTTGTAAGCATTCCAGACATAACTATCATTAGTTCTTACAAGTCTTACAAACCTTAAAACAAGTCTTACAAACCTTACAAATCTGCTTAGAATTAATTTATGAATTTAACCCCTAATTATAAGTTAATTCTTAGCTTACAATTAGGATTCTCGACAATAGCAAAGGTTTCGAGAACAAATTACGAGCCTCCTATAATTCTGAATTTGGATTGCCCCGCGCATGATGTATTCTACCAACGTGGCAGTGTACAAAAGCGACTAACGAGATCTCCTTGTACGGCCCACACATCTCGCGGTTTAAGCGAGTACTCTCAGCGCAACTCTTGGCTCTCGATCCTTTCTTTATTAAGTGGGGTGCCTTTATTGACTTTAAATGGCATCAAAATGGTACTGATGTGACGCGTTATGTAATAGCGATCGAATAACGATCGTAATACATAATTATTGGCGACATTAAGTCATCCAAGCGATAATGTAATGAGAAATAAAATAAAATGGGAAATAATTAAGAATCTAAATCTTTCAACTCCTTTCAACTCCTATAATTATACGTATATATAACGAAATAATGGACTTTGTTATAAATTGGAGACATTTATAATGTCACTTATTTGTGTTAATCACACATAATTCAATTTATAATATAAAATACGAATTAATTTATACTTTAATTGTAGATAAGTTAATTCCTAAATGTGACGTCTTGCTGTCTTTGCTATTTCTCTTTTAATAAATATCCATATTAACAAGAATACACTCCCTTAAAGCGATCAGATGTAATCCTGTCTCGGATGTCGAGCAACTTATTGACTTCGTCCTCCTTCGTCACGATATATATTATACATGTCGGTGACCTCCAATGGAAAACGAAGCCATTTATGGCGGATGTTGACCACGTAGATGTTGCCGTTCGTTTTCGACCTGAGTATCGTTCGATCTCACGAGAAAGTAGCTGTATGTCAAAATTTTGGCCTGAATATAAATACGAGATGGAATCTCCAGAACGCAACAGCGACGAGTCGCGCGATTTCATCGTGGACTGTAACAAGCAATAGGTAAAAACATTCCGTTATACTTGACTCTTCCTGTTGTATATAAAAAGAGCTGACTGATACAAACAACTTTTACTGCCATCCCTGAACTGCACAGAGTTTGGTCAATGCCAATTCACGTATCAATTTTGAAAAAATACAACCTCTTATCTCCAAAAAGGCTACTAGTGTCTGAATTTTGACATCCAAACGGCAGATTATTGTGATTCTTAAACTCAGATATTCATTTAAGGATGAAAAAGAAGAGGGAGAAGAAAGTGTCTTTTACGTATGCCTTTATATACAAAAAAACAGTTTTATTAATATATTTGAAAATTTAGTTAGATATACAGGTCTAAAAATAATTTTTTTGGACCATCAAAATAATTACGCAGATGCTCGAATTGATGGCTAAAATATCAAAACTTTTGCATTGATCATACTTGAGTGTCGTACGTAATTATTTTGATAGTCCAATAAAATTATTTTCAAATCTGTCAAATTTTTAGACACTTCAGTAAAATCGTTCTTTCCATGTATATATGACATCCAAAATTATAATATGAAATAATGTATCCTACCCCTAAAAATTATGTATCCTACTATACATTTTATGTTGATTAGAGATTGTAATACATTGCTTGTAATGAAACTATTGTGATAAAAAATTATTAATTATTATTTATAATGATTAGCTTTATGATATCGCGAATGTACATTCATTTAACATTAAGATTAATCCAAGAACTTTTGAAAATCTAATATTTGGTACATAATAACGGATCTCCTAATTTAACTCTCGACTGTTTGATTACGTCAACGAAACGAATGGACAGGGATATACGCCTGCGGAAGCATTTAGGCGTATCGGTTGTCGTTCACCTTCTTAGGATCAATAAAATACCAGGCGGGGCAAGGCCTGGCCTGTTCAAGTTTTGGGCTTCTCTCAATCGTACCATAGTACCATATATCGCATCCATCGTCAATAATTTTATTTATGCATGAGTTCTATTAAAACAATCCATCAAAGAGACTCGTAGATAAACATGAACGTTCATTCTATGATTTTCCCCAAACGTCAATTTCATATCTATAATTTTTACAATTTAATTAATATCCAGTTGCCTTAACTTAAACTCTTTAATTATCGTAATTATAGAAATTTCCAAAAAATATCCTCGCCACTTATCTACTAATTTATTCTTATCTCGATATTTCTATTATTCTCGACGTGTATATATTTAAGAAAATTCCGTAAGACCATCGTTCTAGAAATAATCGTCACAAACAACTGACTTATATCTGCTTCAGTATTGCCTGCAGAAATGGAAACCGCATGCGACTCGCCCTGGCGCGTGCTCGTATATATAGACGATATCGATCGTTCTGACGATGACTCAACGGTCGCCGCTTCTGACTCAGGGGGTAGCTTCGTGCAACAACCCCCTTGTCGCAATCGCATCATCGTGAGGTGCGCTTCGCGCGCGATTCCTTGCTCACGGAAATTCCGCAGAGCCGTATTGGGGGTAGAAACGCATCTACTATCCATCAAGGTCGATAACCATGACTCATGTTCACCCCCCACGAGTTGTGACATGCGTACAGAATGTCGCGGATTCGTCTGTTACCAGGTGCGAATTCGGCATATGCGAACACATATAACCAACACGCGATCGACTAATTGTAAGTCTGACATTAGAGACTGAAGGTCAGCCGTAGGAGTATCTACTGAGTTTGGCAGTTAACAACTTGGGTCTTGGATACCTAAATCTATACAATCATGATTGGATCGAGTTTAATTAAAATTTAAGAGCTTGTCTTTCATAACATATTTAATAATGTCTATCTATTATTAAATGAACATGATTCTAAGGGATTCTCCTTAATCAAGGAACTTATGTCCGTTTCTACCAATGTAGATTAGCTTTAATTTCGAATTCCCGATTTAAAACTAATTCTTCATCTTTTTACAATTCTAAAGATTTAAAAAGAGATGAAAAATAAATTGAACAAGATTAAAGTTACTCTATATTGATAGAAACTGGCATTAATTGTATTCGTATTAAAAACTGTTAGAGTGACGTTATTTCATGTCAGATTATTCATTGCATTTAATACCTGTTCCATAACAGCTGTAAGCGTAGTTGTGAGTAATTGTAGTAGTAAGAATCGACCAATCATAATTGAATATTTTTCCCATATTCCGCACTTGACTGATCAATTCTTACAACTACAACTGCTTACAACTATGTATGTCTACGGTTATTATAAAATAGGCTTAACTTTGTAATAAACGCAGTATAACAATAAAAACACAAATAAATTAACGTTTTGTCATGTGTGGGAAAACTAGATGTCGCAATTGACATAAAAAAGACATTATAAGGTATATTTATGCAAATAACCGTCATCCTGTATTTTACGATTTCAAATTACTATTTTTCACGAGATAAAATAATACTTTATGTAATCATTATCTACAGTAAATCTAAATTAAATCGAATCGGAAGTTCTATGTTCTACATTATTATCTTTTATTATCTATATTAATATAATTATTATCTTTTTTACACTTTTTTTCTTTAGTTTCATAGAGTTTTTATCAACTAATTTATCGCAAAAAAAAGAATAACGACGTTAAAAAAATGGTAAATCGTTGTTATTGATAGCTATAAACATTTTTATTAAATAAAGCTCAATTATATTTATTTTAACTTGAGAATGATTTCTTTAATTTCGATTAAAGAATCAAAGCTTGGCGTTAAACACGCGATGATGTCATATACTTTCCATGACATATATAATGATGCTCTTCATCGAAGCATCGCGAGAGAGTTGTTTCCAGCGCGTTTAAACGCCGCGATTGAAGCGACATTAAATATTCACTTGATACAGATTGATCGCTAATTATCGCAATTACGTAATGACGCCAGCGTTACTTTTTCCTCTGAACGCCCGAGAACGTGATCGAATCTGGTTTTAAAGTGGACATGATGTCACCCGGCGTTTACGCTCGCGGACCCGCCGTTTAATAGCAAAGCCAACGAAGGACAATAGACATGGGGTATTAAGCCGAGCGTATATCCACATGGATTGTTCTTCAGTCGGATATTATGCAATCTCTCACAGTAAGAAACTTGACGAAAGGCTTTTCGACTTACGTCAAGTCTCTGACGCATCGCAATCAATCTTTTCGCCTCGCCTAAACGATACAAAGTTGCAAATGATAGATTATTTTTTTCGAAACATTAGAAATGATTTAAATTAACAGCTTAATCATCCTATGATTTGCAGTATGCAGTCCTTAGACATGCATATAACTACCCAAGGAACACACAAAAGTCAACAAAAAAGTTAAAATTTTATTTTGATTCTTAACGTCAATAAACAGTCAAATTTTGTAATAAAAAATCATTTTTTTGACTTTCATGACGTCGAAAAATATCAGTTTGACTTTTTCTTGACTTGGTGTGTTTCTTGAATACTTTTTAGCTCTTTCCCAGTTATTGCTCGTCACATATCTGTGGAGAACGTTCCCGCATCCTCCACGTTCTCTGAAACCGTTAATCAACGATCGATTAAGGGTATCGCACTATGCGGGAAACATTTCCGCGGAAACATCGTGGATGATCATCGACGCACGTGCATGTCGGATGCGGTCGTGTTACACGGGAAGAAGATACGCGGTGGCATTTCGGCTAGGAATCGTGCAATGTAATTTGACGTTTCGCGCGAACGAGCAGCACAGATTTCTATTGAGTGCAAGAGCAGCGGCGATCTGTAGAAATAATTAAAAATAGTTTAAATTCACATTTATAACTTGGCATTATTTAATAGTGGATAAGTTATATACTTATACAAGTCATATTTTTTAATAGAATCACAGATTTGATGTAATAGTGTCACATGTATATAAATACACTGTAAAAAAATAGCGGTGTAAATTTAACACTATGTGGTGTCAATATAATTCTTACTGTGTTGGTGTTAAATTAATACAACATAGTGTGGATTTAACACCATGGATTTCAAATCTACACATCCGTGGTGTTAAATGATGATGTTGATATAAATATCAGAAGTCTTAAATTCACATCATGTTGATGTTCAACATCAACATGGCGAGAATTATATAGACATCGCATGAATGTTAAATCTACACAGTAACGGGATTCTCCAAACGTTTTATCGATGATTGTCGCTATTGTTAACTAGCGACAGCCAATAGCAGGACAATTCTGGAAAAAAGTGCGATTCTCTTCTCTCTGACTGTCGCTAATTAACGATAGTGATATCTAATTGTCGATACAACGTTTAGAGAATCTCATAACTGGAATGTTAAATCGACACCGACATTTTTGAAAGTGTATAATAATTTTAAGAAAAATCAAGTATGTCGCGATGCCTGCGAAATCGCGTTATCATGCGAAACCATGTCGCCATAAACGTGTGCGAGCCGAGCGCGCGATCGTGCGTGCGACCTTTTATTTTTTTTATTCTTTCCTCTCCGAGACGACGATAGTGCGCGAGGTTGATCCATACAAGGTAACGAGCAAGACAAGACCGGCTACACCCCGTCGTCATCATCGCCGCCATCACCGTCGCCGTCGCCGACCACAGCTCTCGCTCGCTCTCGATCGCGAGGACAACATGAAACGTTGGTGGCGCTGGATATAAGGACGTTTGACCCGGTCGTGATGTAATTCCTATTCCTCGATGTAATAGATTGACATCACGAAGGAGCTCGATACTTTTACACGACATTGTCGCGTTATCGTTACAATAACACTCGTTGACGTTGTGAGATGTACGAGACCTTTAATTTTGCCTGTACAGAGTTCATACATAATTCGATGTTTCGCAAATGGATACCAGATTTCTGTGGCGTCGTTTTTAAACTGAATACTGTCCACGAGATATTTAAAATATGTAGTATTAACGTTCCTTTCTGCTGAAGTTATATTTTATAGTTATATGGATTTACAAAGTCTATAAATATGTAACGATAAAATATAACTTATTATGTATAGAAGAGATAAATCATCATATTTATTCACTTTAAAAATATCGGCGTGAGTTTAATATGTTAAATGCTATAAAACGTTAAAGATGTCCAAAGAACGTCCTATATAAGGACATTCCTAGGACGTCTCTTACATCAAGTGTGATACGTGGAAGTGTCATAATTATGTATCTAATGATGTATTATATATATAATGCATACAAATATATTTATAAATATCATGGAATATATAATGTTTTGCAAAGTCGATTTATGTACAAGAGATTACTGTACAAGCAGAATGGTAAAAAGATTAATTACATTACGTGAACGAAAGCTTGAGATAGTAATGGTTATATACACAGAATACTCTGCTTGTTCATTAATTAAATCCGTCAGGTTGCCGCGGGCGTGTACCCGTGAGTCACTTATCGACTTTCTCCTACGACAGGGGAGGATAATCAGAGTGAGTCTAAGGCGTCTACTGGATAAGGGTGGAGTGGGTCATACTAAAATTAACCACTACATCGTGCTACTTTATAGGTGTTCTATCCATGCTAAGAGCTGAAGGTTTATTTTCGATCTTATTTCTCAAATGGCTTGTTTCTATCTGCATTAAAAGCACGCGATGACTCGCAAACTTAAGGTTCTATTTTTAGATAGACTTAAACTTATTTTTGCTCGATAAAATTTCATTATGTATACAAGAAAAATAATTTTTAAAAAGACAGTTAAAAAATTCGAAATTTTTATGCATACTTCTATTTTACTTCATTGTTTATACTGTATATTAATGCATACAACTACATTCTATTCGTAACATGCATGTTCTAACAGGATAATTAGAATCAACGTCATGTATACGGTTGACTCATCGTTTTTAATGAATGAACCATTACTGTCCATCTAAATGCACGTAAACCTTATATGTGCGAGAGTTAAACAGCACACCAAAATCTTTTACAACGCCAAGGTTGTTATGCAAATTTATATAAACATAATATATTACAGACACATGTAAAATATAATAAAAGAAAATGAAAAAGCTATATTAAAAGAAAGCTAAAAATACTTAAACCGTCTGATAGAACAAAGCAAAATAACGTTGAAAAACTTTACGAATTTCAGTTTGATATTTTGTTATCTTTGATACTTCCATTTTTGTATTTATCGAATAATATGGGTCACAAAGACCAGAACTGTTCATGAACAATACAGAGTTCTTTTTTATCGCTACTCGCAAACGGATACTCGCGCTATTTAAGGCGTATACGGATATAAATGTTCGTCTCATGTAAAACTTCTTAGCAGGATCCGGATTTAACGTGTTTTTGAGGAGGCGTTATATATGAAGCGCCAACGCATCTTACGTGGAAGCGAGACGGAAGGCCGCTAAGGCAATGTAATGTCACACGAACGCGTAACCATAGACGAATACGGTACTGCTTTGCAAAGAACCCACATCTCGTGAAGACTCTTGGAGAAACGTTTTTAACTGTAAACTTCTTGTACGGCAAAAAAAAAATAGAATATTCAGAGATACGGTATCTGAGTAGAACACAGAATCAGATGATATTAGAAGAACTCATTATAATGATTAGTTGTCATTTAAAAATACCAAGTTTTTTTATGTTAAATATTTTTTAATCATAGATCAAAACAAAAACCTATTAGGTAACTTCGTCAATTCTTGGTCGATGATCTCACACGGTTTTTATAAAAATGTCTTACACACCTTTTGACCAAATGCGAAAATTATCTTTTATAAGATAATAATTTATATATTATTTTTTAATACCAAAACTATAATATGTTTGATTAATTATAAATTCCGTATGTTACTTTGTAAAATATTCAAATATTAAATTAATATCAAATTGTATTAAAAACAATGTACTCAATTAACATAATGTATATATTTGTTATACAATAACAGTTATTATACGATTCTCTAATATAATTGGTTTATACATTTAGATTAATTTATACAAAACTGCTTTTTCAGCTGAACTCCATTGACAAACTCTCCATCCATATCATAAAGAAGGAATTTAAAGATCGAGATCAATTGAATTAACGTGAGTGTTGACAATATGATTAAAGTTATCAGCCGTGCTTTTTTAAAGTTATAAAACTTTTGTTAATTAAAATTTCATATTTATAAAATTGTATAATTAATAAGAATTACCAATAAAAATTCTATTTCATTTTTTATTAAATATTTATATTTCACATGTACGGTCTAAAGATAATAAAGATTCTTATTGTTTATACCTAATTTCAGTTTATTAAATACCTATATTCAACACAAAAAATTATAAAATTTTTTTTTAAATACAGTCTAATGTCATAAGCCAATCAGAGAGCTGTATTAGCATCTTAAGATATTGGCTGTATTCAGTAGAAACAGCAGCTTTTGTAATCGTTGTAAAATTCTTTAATATAATTCATCTTACCCTTAGTTCCTCACTGGATCTACATGTATAAACCAATCATATTCAAAAATTTTACAACAGTTATAAAGCTGCTTTTTCTGCTGAACGCAGCCATTACTTTAGACAATCTTAAAATAAGAATCTGAATACCCGCCTAAACATGAAGATAGGATTATTTCTTTTGTTCTATATATATATATATTTTTTTTTTCTTTCCTTTCAAAGATTCTTTTGTTTTAATAAAATTTTTCTGATTTTTTGAACACAATACAAACGAAATTAGGAGGCGATAGTTGTCGCATCTCGTACTGATATGCTCCATATTATCGATGCTAGCGTCAATGCAATTAACGTCCTTTATATTGAAAGGCCTTTCCGTTGCGCGATAGACCTAGCTTTTCCTTACTCAGGGCTGCCCTTTCGGGACATCTCAAGCGATTAAGCAGATTTGAAATTAACGGTCGAGACAGATTATTAAATTGAGTTTAGTGGTCCAGAGCTGTGGGCAAATCACGCTGTTGCAATTTTCAGAATTTTGTAAGTCAGAATTAATATTGTAGATTACATAATCACATTTGATATTTAAAAATACCTTGATTATTACAGATTTTATAAGTATTTTTTATATTTTTATCTTGTATGTATAATATAAATTTTGATCTATACATTTTTGGAATTAGGAATGTATTATACTGATTTCGTAGTAATTTATTATTAATCCTCGTACCTTTTCAGCACATTAAATAATTTTTTTCTATTAAAATCAATTTCTAATTTATGATTTATCCAATTTTTCTTATTTACATACAGAATAAAACAATAGTCTGGATACTGTATTATGCAAAAAGTCAAGTTGTATCATTGTGAAAATTACACATAAATAATTTAAGATTTTGCAAACTGATTAAAAATTAAAAATTCGCTGAAGTATGTGAATTACAAAAGAAAGTACACAACGAACAAAGGCTATTGTGTAACCGCAAAGAATTCCGATCGACTATTCATTATTCTATTTTCAAGAAATTTTCTTTAGAATAAATTAGAAAATTTTCAACAACAACTACAAATAAAGCAAGGCTATGTTCTATCAAAGGGGATTTTGGTGTCTAATATTTTTGTGTGCATTTTATGATTTTAATTCCGATGCAGTTCCAGTAAACTGCAAATGTATTATTGAACAATAAGAAAATAAAATAGAAGTGAATCTCAAGTATATTATTACGTTCGAATGTTCCGAAGTATATAAATTTATCAATAAACTAAATTAACATTGAAACCCATTGCAATAATATGCATATATCTCGTTGATTGAGAAATTATGTTAAACCCAGGTCACCTCAGAGATTAAAGATTGCGAATTAGAGATAAGAATTTGACTTGTCAGATAATTTTAATTCATTTCGTTCTAATTGAATTTTAATTTTCAATTCGCAATCTTCAAAATACGTATTGATACGAGCTTTAAGATTCTTAATATATTCCGATATGCTGTTATATCTAACTAAAGCATAGCAAAACAATAATATTCATATAATTTATTACATTAATCCTCACACCATTGGTTTTCTTCCAAAATCGATTTCTAATCTATGATTTACTCAGAGCTTTTCTATTTACACACAACTAATAGAATAAAATAATCGTTTAGATATCGTATTACGCCCGAACTTTCAATACGTAGTGTGACACAGGCTTTAGAATTCTTGATATTCCGGATGCTCTTAGATCTAAGCTTAGCAGAGCAACAATATATCTATATTCATATAATTTATTACATTAAATAATCCTCATACCTTTCCATTGGTTTCCTTCCATCAAAATCGATTTCTAACCTATAATTTACTCAGAGCTTTTCCATTTACGCGCAATGGAATAAAATAATCGTTTAAATGCCGCATTACGTAAAAGTCTAAATAATACAAACGATGGTTCCTCTTAAAATGCGGAGAGTCGAAGCTACAGCTACATGTTCCTCAACGGTGTGTGGGTCTGTCGGTGAACGTCGGTGTGCGAAGTATGGTGGTGTGCAGATCATGAAGTTGCCGAAGTAGACGCAGCAGCGGTGAGTGGCGTACAGTTGGCAACGCTGCGTTGCGTCACCGCGCGTCGCTGTCCGCGCATCGCAACTGCGAGGCAGTGGCGGCTCCGCCAATCAGCGCGCCGCTACGCTCTCGTTTCCTCCCCCTCCACTCTTCTTCCGTTCTGCCCCCGTAGAAGCTTGAAAATCTGTAACGGACATCGCAACCGTCGCATACTCGTCTTCGGGCTCACGCAACGCGTTGGTCTCTGTACTCGAGTCAGTTCGATAGTAAAAGAAAAAAAAAAATAAGTCGCCGTCAGTCGCCGCTACATTAAGGTACTCAAGGCTCGCTTTCTCGAGAGATCACAAGTCGGCGAATTCCACGAGAGCAACATGAGGGAAATCGTCCACATCCAGGCCGGCCAGTGCGGTAACCAAATTGGAGCAAAGGTAGGCCACTTTGAGAATCCGCACTAAGAATTGATTACCCCTCGAACGAGAATCGTCACTTGTCCTTTGTTCGCGAATTCCTAGTCTTCTAATGTCTTTCTATAGAATCTTCTAATATCCCCTTCCATCAGTCTCAATTAATCTCTGGTTCACTCACTCTTTATCTCTTTCCAATTCTTAGAACTGGAAAAGGTAGAAAGTGAGTCAAACAGAGATTAAAGCTAATCTAAATTGAAGTCTAGAAATAGACGAGGTATCTATCGCCAGACAGTCGACGTTTCATCATTTTCATGGTGCTCGGCTGGAATTTTACGAGATCCATTATTAACGACGAATCACGACGCGATATATGTATACATATAAGTAACAAGGGCGTTCTCGATCGAGATCAGCGGTCGCCGTGGCCGCGCCATTTTTCTCACCGCTCGATATCGCGGCCGAGGAGAGCAACCGTCGGCGGGAACGAGGACGCGCCTCGGCGCTTATTTTCCTCGTCGCTCGCTGGGCGATACGCTGATACGACGAGGAAACAAGGCAGAGCCTCGCCCGCACGGCGGTCGAAGACCTGTCATGGCGACAGGAGCTCGCCGGCCGGCCGGCGAGCCTAACGGTTTTTTCCCCTCCCCTCCCCTCCCCTCCCTTCCCCTTCGATCCTTTTCTCTCTTCAAGTTTATACAACCGCGTTCCCGTGCGAACGCGTCTCGTCGGCCATCTTCTCTCGGCCGTTCTGCACTTCCCGTGGATAAATATTCCATGTACGTCGCGACGAAGACAGGGAATTCACGGATAAATGGAGCTGGTCGTCGGTGACCGTCGCCGAATTTATCTGCCACTCGGCTAGGATCGACGAATCCCGAAGCTGGGTGTGGCGAATCTCTATTCTCTTCCCGGTGATGAGAGAGAGATCGACGTTCACGCGACGACCGACACGGCATCGACCGGTTGCGCGCGCATCTCTTTCTCCTCGCTCCTTTTCATTCCGCCTAACATTCTCCGCTTTTCTGTCTCGTAATAGTAAGTACTTTGATTGTCGGTCTGCAAATGCTACTCTCTGCGATGTGTACGTGGAAAATATGCGGGACACTTGGTTTTTGTGATGAGAAATGAATCGTGTTCTAGATGTTCTCTCTCTCTCATAGTAGATCGTTGCAGCTTCGATTTTATCGTGAATAAAGTCGGCTGTCGCAGCTTTCATTCTTGTACGTCCATCTTTCCTCTTCCCCCTCTCTTCGTCTCGTTCAGTCTGGCGTATGCTAAAGGTTGACTCACACCGAATTTATGAATACTGATCGTGATGAGATATGTGAGGGAGTTGATTATGCATCTTGAAACAAGATGAAAATTACAAAAGTGAGCGAATTTATTAGAATATTTATAACTTTATTAGTTAACAAAGTAAATTAATTCATTCTTTTGTAATTTTCATCTCGTTTCAGAAATACATAATCGATCTTCTGAGTACGTATATGTAGAATTATTCTAAATTATTTAATTCAAAATAATTTCATTATACTTTATTTTTTTTTGTTTAGGAAAAACGAAATAATTCCGATCGGAATCCGTTTCAAATAATTCCATAATATGTGCTCTGTTCTTTTTCGAAGAAAAGACTGAATTGAAGATGGATTGTGTATCTTGAAATGCGAGGAGAATTGCAAAAGTCAACAATGTCAGATGTTGGTCAATGAATTATAAATATTCTAATAAATTCTCTTGCTTTTATAATTTTCACCTCGTTTCAAGATAAACAAATGTTCCTTTTGTCTATCTTTGTGTCTACTTGTGTAAGTTGGAGTGAAATAAATTTATTTTATTTCAATTCTTATTGTATTAATGTACACTGATTCAAAATTTTCTTTGAAAAATCACAGGCTGCTTTTTTTAAAAAAGAATTTTATTTAGATTCCTACCACACAGATATTTTATCAATGTTCAATATTGACAAGGATTAAATGATGCCTGTGTCTAGTCTGTAACTCTTTATCATTATATTATCATTGCACTTTTTATATACATATAATATAACGATATCGACACTGTTAAGATCTGGTTTTTCATTTGCTGATTAATTTGTGGTTAGGTTTAAAACCTGATGGTAATATAAAACTTGTATTTTTTTATACATGGTTATTTAATAATAATAGCTAAACTGTGGTTTTGCAATGAATAATTTTTGAAGTTACTACAAACTTAGTTTAATGATTGATCGAATTGGAAAAACACTATTACTATTAAGTGAAGTATTACTATTAAATCTAAATTATAAATTAACTAGATAGTGGAAAATCAAATCTAATGCCCACTTCTATCAATGTAGATTAACTTTAATCTCGGTTCAACTTACCTTTTTCTTATTGTTAAAACTAGAAAAAGATTAAGAGTTAGTTGAACCCAGATTAAAGTTAAACTGCATTGGTAAAAACGGGTTCTAAGAATTAGAAAAAGATAACCAATTAGACCGAGATTAAAATTAATCGACATTGGAAATTAGAAATTGATATAATATTGAACATTCAGGTGAAAATCTAAATACACTCTAGGAGACGGTCAATGCAAACATCTTCTATCTTCGTTATTCATTGAATGTTAAGAAGGACGATATTTGTGTTGGTTATTTTCTAAAAATACTAAAAAAGGGGAGAAAGCTGTAGCTAATTTTCACTTCACACGATTGTCATAGAAAATGTTATTACAATCGATCTTTACGAAGCCTTCAGCTTTCAGGTTTTCCATCTGGTATCATCGGAATTTGTGAGAATTGTACGATTTGGACAATGCGGCAAGTTTTCGCGTTTCGGTGTGCACGCTCCTTCAAGCAGATGAAATTCCTACGCCGCGTCCGTTGGCCGTGCGGCGTTACAATCGTGTTTAACGGCCACGCCAGCGTCGGTTGCATGGCGGGTGTATTTTAAAATTTTTATACGATACGCCGTTAACGGACAGCCGACGAGTGGCACTGCGTTATCGGTATGCTCGAACGCTTGTTAATCGTGCGAATTGGCGAATCTCCGTTTGTTCTACATGTACACGCCTTTATTCTCTTTTTGTCATCTCATTTCTCTCGCTGACTTATCGATCTCTTTCTCTGGTATTATTTTTTTTCCTTTTTTTTTAAATTTTGAAAAATGTTGATAGAAACTCAAGATTCTGATTACTAATTTGATGCGCTAACTTCTATATGAAAAGAATTTTGCTGAAGTACCTATTTAAAAGTTTGATTAAATACAAATCTGAAAATAAGTTTGTTGTATTATCAAAATAATTATGTACACAATAATATATACAAAAGTAATAATTACTTGTTTCAAATGTTTCAAAATATATTCTTATTCTAGTAAGTTTAATACTTCGATCAAGATCAAATTAAAATTATTATAATTCGCTTGTATTGCTTGAGTCGCTTTTTCGATCAATTTTATAATATTCTATAATAAAGAAAATTCTTGTTTAAGTACATAATGAATTTTTCTAAAATTTATCTTGAGATTATCAAGAAACTATTTATTAAACTATTTATTAAAGATAATCATCACTTAAAAGGAACAAAATAAGTTGAGTAATAGAATGATATTTTTCTGTGTGTAGTAACTTCAAACATACTAGACAATACTGCAAAAATTTTGACATTCTAGCAATCACACAATTTGAGCGTTTTATATTTTGATGTTCCAACAAAATTATTTTCAAATATATCTAGCTAAATTCATACTTTAACAAAATTTTTTCCGTGTATAGCTCGTTCTTTCCATTTTAATTTGATTTGTTTGAATTTTTGAAGTTTCATTTTTTCTGATTACTAGTTTAGCATGAATTTTTTCCTTTTTACTTGAAAATTAAAAACGACAAATATTTAATATGTTGCTATGAATGGGAACTAGAAGAATAATACTCAAATTTTTATATATAAATTTTTGACGTAAAGATTATGTAAGAAGACACAAGTATTTATAATGTAGATCGATTTTTAATAATAATGTTAAGTAATTATCTTATCAGAATAATCGACGATAAAGACTGCACGAGAGTAGGTAAAGATTCGAGGAGAAGCTGATCAACGTTCATCGTCACGCTTCCGTAATTTTTAAGGCTGCTGCACCAAGTCAATGTCCGTTTCTCGAGCTGTCTATCTCAATCGATCCGACGTCACGGTAGCGTAACATCAAAGGCTATTTTTTATCCTCTTTTTTTATAACAGATTCCTAATAATGAGAACGTATCGATTGAACGGAAAATATTTTCTTAAGTAACTGTTATCGCGATTAACTCTGCACTTTTTTAATTTTCAACTTATCAGAACTCGAGATAAGTTTATTTGATAACCGAGTTATTTCTAAGGATGTGTAAAGCGATAGAAAAAATAAATACAATTTTAAAAGTTTTTCTCAAAACAAGATGTACCTTTTAATTTCAGAAATGTTTGTAGAAAATAAAAGTAAAACCTATCAACATTACGTACTGATGAATATATTGAACATTTTATTAATCCAAGTTCTCAATTTGAAAAATATTATAAATTTTCTGTGAAATATACCAGAAGAAAATAGAATGATGTTTGTTGAAGTAAGATGCTTCGAAAAGAAGCTTGTACTCCCCGAAAAAATATTAAAGAAAATTAAGGCAAAATTACTGTGAAAATGATAACGTAGGAGCTACTTTCTACTATGCGAGTTTGT